AAACATGTTGTGGATGTCTTTGGGTTCCAATGCATAAACTAGGGTAGTTTGCCTGTCTATTAAGGATCTATTTCGATGATTTAGTACTTGGGAGTTTAGTTGAACATGTTTAATTAATAATTGCTATTGTATGTACTATTACCTATAATACTCTTACACATAGATTTGTAAAAGAGGAGAACATGGACAAAGCTTATGATTTGATAAATAGAATGGAAAATTAAATTCTATTTCCTGATGTAATTATATATAATAAATTGACAAAGCTCATGTTTTTTGTACAGTTGCTTGTATTCTTAACTCATTTATGTTGTTCCTATTGATATATAATTTTCCATTTACTCGATACATTGTGATGTGATTATTCAAAATAAACAAGCAACGATTACTAAAATCTAGGTGGGTTTGAGAATATGGTAATGGTTGGCAAACTATCTATGTTGAAGGTCAGGTTGTAGTAAATTTAAAATGTGCATTGTTGCGGAACTTCTTCGACACGAGATGTAGTTTGATTGCTTGGGCTTGGATCCTCCAAACAAGCCAGTGTTCCTTATGAGCCAATGGGTAACATTTCACAATGACTCCAAACACCTTTGAAGTTAAGCTATTCAAAAGCAACTCGTTTAGCTATGAAGATTTAAAATAGTTCTTCATTCTGAGTCAATTCAAGTGTACTCCAATGGAATTGCTTCACACAAGAAGGAATATATACATGCGTATAAGCATCGGATCTTTTACTTGCTCATGGAGATGTGCAAATGATGTAATCTATGAGGCACCTAAGGAAGTGAATGGTTTTTTGCACTTGACATTTTTGAAAATCATCCCATATGTGCAATACGATCCATGGAAAAGAGAGCTTACCATACATAACCAAGAAAATATTTATTATGTTAATGCATTTAAATTTATTCTTCAGTTTGTTGGGTGTTCACTGTGTTGAGTTTTTCTCAGGAAAAGAATGATGTACAATATGAATAAGAAGAGAGGTTTTTGATATTCATTTTGATGAAGATATAATTTCAATGCTTCTATAAGTTCTTTTATTTTTTTAATGAAGATATAATTTCAATGATTCTATAAGTTGTTTCTCCCCCCTCCCCCGATTTCTATTGTATATGCTAGGATGTCTTTCTAACACCAATTTCATTTAAAATTCTATTTGGTTTACGTAGTTACTTCAATATGGTTTCAAGATCTTGAGCTTGAGAAAGAAGCGGAAAATGAACCAGATGAGATGTTTAGCTTCTCTTCTTCAATGGAAATGACATTTTCAGATTCGTTTAGCTTCATATATGTTTTCTTCCCTGGAACAGGAGGACAAAAAAACGATTAATATTTCCAAGAAGATCATCAACAAAGAAGAAGAAAAATAAAGTACTATTTAAGTTAGGAACATTGATAAGTGTGTTTTTACACACTTATTTAGGTCACAAACATGACCTAAATACGAGCAAAATGATTTAATTGTGACTTAATCTTGTACAATTGTGAATTGTAGGAAACAACGATAAACATGGTGAAATTCAGGAGAAAAGACGCGAAAAAGGACTAAAGTGACGCAAAGTGAAAGTTCAGGGACCAAAAGTGCAAATATACAAAAGTTGATCCGATGAACAAATTGAGAAATCAATTAGACCAATTACCAAATTGACGATATCGTGGGGTGATGAAATGAAAAGAATGAAGAGAAGATGCTAAGAAGTGAAGGATGCAAGTTGGAAGACCAAAACGCAATTTCTCCATAGTTGATAGTACTATGCGACCGCATAGTATTATCCTCTATGCGGTCGCATAGAACAAAAATCTGAAAAAAAAAATTGGTTTCCTTTTTCTTCCGAAACTCTAATGGAAACAAAATTTTAGGGTCCTATAAATACAAAAACTCGACCAGAATGAAGGGGACGCCATTTTTATATATTTTTGGGAGATTTTGAAGAAGAAACAAGGGAGAAAACAAGAGATAAACATCACGCCAATTGAAGATCGGAGTGAATATTGATTCGGGTGATGTCGTTTCTTCAAATACTTTTGAGTTTTGTTCTTTTTAGCATGTTAGGCTAAATTTATTGCTACTAGGAGATCGATGAACCTGTAATACCACGTTTAATTGTTGTTTTGGATTTTTGACATATGTAAACACCAATTTCGAAATTGATTGATTTATTTCGTTTTTATTTTCATATAATTATTGTGCACGTGATTATATGAATCTGGTGACCTGTTTTATGCATTCGAAAGAAGGAAAATAGGTTCGACATAGTATAAATCGTCATAGGGTCCGATAGAGGATAGAAATATACCTCTATGCCTTGTGTGAATCATTGGATATTCGTGAATTATAATGCATGTCGGTATATTAGTATTCGTCATAGAAATATAGTTGAATCATATATTGGGATTGGTTTGGCATTGCTCGAGAGAGATTGCTAAATTAAAATAGGAATATCTATTCATCTTTTGTGAAATTGTGTGTCAAAGTTGCATAAATGACTATTGAACGGGTATTGTTTGGGGATTCGTGATCCTAGTGAGTTAGAACATCCATTAATTCTATAAAATTTTAGTTAAATTGCATCCAAGTTACTTTGAACTAAGTATAATCCTTAGTCAATAATTGCATCAACGACTACATTTTGTTAGTTAAAGTACAAAAACGTAATTTGCTTGTCGTGTTTCGGTTAAGGTCATATTAGATTACTTCGAACTAATTCAATCCTTATGGGATCGATACTTGGACTTATAGTCCATTTTACTACTTGTTAACGAACCGTACACTTGCAGTGGATTTTGAATCGAAACAAATAATTTCGCGAACAAACATCACTAGAAGATAACATAAACCTGGAACATTCCACACCTTCTGAACATCATGATGTTCCTATTGATGTTGAGGGGAAGAGAATATTTAGGAAATCATCTACAACTGTTGTGATTATTAGGCAAGTCAAAAGGGATGCAATATGTGCAACACTGCAAGCCACGATCAAGCTATGATGAATGCTATAAAGAACAATCTTTATTGTTATTTTTAACACAATGTTTGAATGATGGTGTTGATTGAATAAGGAGTATGAGTCCTCGAAAACTTTCTCCTTGACGTCAAAGTTTGTCGCATTGAAATATGTCTCCTTATCATGGAAGAGATGAGGCACAATATGCCAATGGGTAAGTCCTCTCTCTCTCTCTCCTTTCCTTAATGCTTTTATTTATTTGACTACAACCTATTAATTATCACTAATCGACTATACTGAATGAAATTATAAGTTGTGTTAAATATTATGAGATTTTGTCTTAATAATTTTCAAAATGTGTATTTATATCTTCCGTCCTATGCATTTTTGTGCTTTCACAGCTAGGTAGCTTAAATTTTGTCTTAGCTATTGAACAAACTCCATCTATCCTAATGGTATTCGAGGTTTCAACTATAATACTTGATATGGATGCGTCACATTGCACCATTGACAAGTTTGTCATCACATATATTGTACGGTAAAGTGCTACCTATCTCTTGTTTGGTTGATTTTTCTCTCTCTTATTATTGCAACTTGCTTTTGTGTTTTTATTTCAATCGTAGGGAGTATTTGCTTCATTTCTCTGTTAGTTTAGGAAACAAGAAACCCGACGAAATTCTCATTTTCAAATAAATTGTTGTATTCCACATAAAATGCATTGTTTCCCTCTTGTAAATTTGAACTTTCCTCTTGAGGCAATTTTTATGCTGTATTTATTTCTTCCTCTTTGTTCAAATTTTGGATTGACCCTTATATCTCTATGAAGCATTATTTGATTTATACAAATGTGTAAACAAAAATTTTGTAATACAATCTCTCGTCTAACCTTAACATTCAAGACATTAATATTAACTTAAAAATAACACAACTCGTGCATCGCAGGAGCAAAAAACTAGTAATAATAAAAGAAGTAAAATAATTAAAAGAAATTAAAATAAGTGAGCCAAAATAGGAGCAAAACAAACGAGCTGGTCTATGAGCTGGCTCATTGGAAAATAAATAAATAAATAATGGAAAATTTTCATAGGAGTTCAATTATACACATTTCAAATTTCAAAAATCAAATTTTTATTAAAATTTATTTATGATTTAATTAATTAATTAATATTTTATTAATTAAACATATTTAGCTCACAAATCTATATAATTTGGTCACAAATTAATAATTTAATTAGTCATTTATTATTTTTTAGTCACAAATCAAAAATTTTATGTCACAAAATATTTTAAGATCACAATTCAAAAATTTTGTAGGTCAGAAATCAAAAAATTAATTAGTCACGAATTAATTTTTAATCACACTTATCAATTTATTAGTCACAACTTATTTATCGACCACAAATCAAAAATTTTATAAGTCGCAAATTATTTTTCGATCATGAATAACAAATTTTACAGGCCACAAATTATTAATCAGTCATAGAGTCAAAATTTTTATTTGCCACAACTCATTTATTTATTAAAAGTTATTAAATTAATTGGTCGAGATTATTTTTTTTTATCACAACTTAATCAATTGTGAGTCACAGTCACAATTTTCAACCAATTTATTGGTCACCACCACCACCATCTCACAACCCTAACCTACTCCACCGCCATTGCTACCATAGCCGGCAACTCACCACAACCACTATCACCACCGTATTGACCATTATGACAACCAACACCAATCAAATACCATCACGACGATTGTCTATATCAACCACCACATGTGGTGGTATTAGGGTTTAGTTTATGGGGTGAATATATTTATAATATATACAATTTTATAATATAAGAAAATAAAACATCTGGTTTTTGAACATTGAAACATTCCATCTAATTTTAAAATTGTGAATTTTAAAAGTAGGAATTGTGTAATTTCCAAAAAAAAAAAAAAAATGGTTTTACTAGACCAATGGCTCGTCTCAAAATGAAGCCGAATGGCCCATGAGCCGAGTGAGATGAGTCGAGCTGGCCTGCGACTCGTCCACCCCTGATCCATATATCTTCCTTTCATGACCTATGACAACAAATCACATTTTAACTGAAACACTTGATTTTCCCGTTCAGAATTCCAACACATAAAACAGATCCCAATCTCCCGTCTAATGCGCCACTGTTAGATCTCTTTCTTTAGAGAGATAGTAGAGAGAGATGAGTAGGAGATCTGCGACTTGCTTGAGGTGTTGTTTGGTGATATTCGCAGTAGTGTCGGCACTCTGCGTATCTGGGCCGGCTTTGTATTGGAAATTCAAGAAGGGTCTCAAATTAAAAGGAATTTCATCTTCTTGCCCTCCCTGCTTATGTGATTGTCCTACACCACAAACCCTTTTCCAGATTGCTCCTGGTATGTGCTCCCGTGCTCCTTCCCGATCTATTTTTCTTGTTAGTATCTGGGTTCTTCCGATTCATGTAATTGTTTGATCGTTTGTTGTTTTCTGATTGATGTTGGAGAGCATTATTCAATAATCTCAATGTCTAGTTGATATTCATGGTATTTATGTTTTTAATCCAGACATTATATGATTCAGTTACACCTAGCTAAAATAGTTGAGGTTAATATTTTCTTAATAAACCTTGCGAGTGGACTCCACCCCACCCCCCCGGCTTTCTTTTATGTAGCAGTAATTATGTGCTGCTGAAAACTAAAGATTTAAAATTGTTTTGTTTTTGCTTTTGACACACTAACTACTTTTTGTTGTCAAGCAGACGATGCCAAGATACATCTTGGTTTCCATACACGAGGATTATACTTAGTCTTAACTAAAGAGAGCATAAACTGCGTGCACACTGTCATTATTTTTGCATTCTTAATGAATTTGGGAAGGAAAAACTAGAATAGAAATTGGTGTGTCTAGGCTTGATAGTCTATATTGTCGTAGTTAAGTTAAGAGAGTGCTCCAAAAGAGATAGTATTCAAAATTCTTTCCTTTTCTTTCATCAAGAAGGTTAACTAAATAGATGGTGGCTCAACAAAGAGTATAATGTGAGTTATATTTTCACGTCTTCTTTTCTTCACCCTTTCTAGCATAAGAACTATCTGGTTGGCTGGTGGGTTTCACAGGGTTGTGAGTTATTAGTTTAAGCTATTTTAATAAATCAAGCCACGTTACTGCAAAAGTTGTATCGTCACAATCTTGTGAAGTTCGCAGTACCCTGTTAGGTAAAATTAAGAGAATGACGACTTGGATGGTTGGACTGTTTTATAGACTTAAATAGGCTCTTTATTGACAATATCAATGCAATCTTAGTAATAGGTTAGAAGCCATACTTGCAGAGTTAAATTAAAATGGTTTTATGTTGTTGCATAGAAGAAATTCAGCTGACATTTCAGTATATGTAGAGCTAGATCAAACGTAAGGGGGGTTAAATTTGGGACCTCCCTCTTTCATTTGACTTGATGAGCATAGAAAAATTCAGATCTCTAATACTAGTTGGCCCACTCAATCAACTTGCTGTTTTTTGGCGTCAAACCTTAGTCGTAATTTCATAAAATTATCTTGTATGTGTGATTAAGTAAACTATTATAATTGCTCTTGTAAATTATCTTGTGACACTTCTTAATTTGTAATGCTCGTAATTTTAAATTGTTCTAATTTCTTGAAGGGAGTAGTTTTGTTGTTTGTGTTTGCAAGTTCGTCATGTGTGTTTGTAAGCCATTGAATTTCTTTGTCGTAGATGAGACCTAGATTACATAATGTCTACATTGTTTTTATTTTCATTTTATTTTTATTTTTTTGGTGTGAGTAACTGAATTCTACAAAGCCTTTCTTTATTTGGACATCATATACAACTATAAGATCTGTTAATACCCTTGTCATGATTTTATGATACATAAAAATAGTAAAAGATAAATTACAAATTATAGGCGTTAGGCTCTGGCAATATGTAATCTTTGTACGATGAACTGAGCAGTATTTCAGAATGTGCAGGTTGAAGAATGAGAGTATTTTACTAACATTAACAGGGAATTAATGTAAGGAAGATGGGGCCCAGTTGCTTAGCTATTTCAGTAACAGCCAATTGAGAAAAAGAGACTTTGCTTATTGTTTCTCTGAGCAAATTCCTATAGAATTAAGTTTTCAACGGACCTACAGCATGGACAGATAAGCAAGGGAGAGACTGAGATAGAGAGAGTAATATTAGAGAATGTTTTTACTTTGCTGGTTGGTGAATTTTTCCATTCAAAAGTATCTAATAATTCCTGAACCATCTATTTGTGCAAAAGAGCAACTTTGTCCATACAGACAAAATTTTTGCCAGGGAAAACTATCTTCTTCGGTCTTGATCCATCCCTAGACTATCAACACTGGTTCAAATCTTGTAGAATTTTGTAAACTAGATGATAGAATTTGTGGATACCTTATTCTAGGAATACAGTGGGATCTTTAAAGCTTTCTATAGAAACTGCTAGCGAATATCAGAATCGTTAATAATGTAGCATTATTATGGAAACTGAAGTTCCCTCTCCTTCCTACGGCTTGGATGGGAAAATTAGAGGACTGGATTTAGCTTTTTGTTGCCTATGAATTTGGATTTGATTCTTTCCCGTCCTATATTTATATTCATAGTCTATTCCCTTTCACCCATTCCTTATCCCAATCGAACTAATAAAAATGAAAAAGAAGAAAAAAAGGAGAAAAATAATAAGGTGTTCTTTGCTATCAGTTGATGGTAGGAGAGGTGTAGCCCTCGTACTGAAGGCGAAGATGTATTTCTTATTACAGTATTAATAAATTTTCCACCCTTTCGGTGATTTGATAGAAATGCTTAGCAGTATGGTCAGTTTTCAGCATCATCTCTTGTAGATTACCTATACTTTAGATTGTGTTATAATTAATGAAGTGCAATTACAGTTTTGGTTCTTACTAGCTGAATTATTTGCGTTAACACTTTCTGTTTTGTTTTGATTTTGTGCAGGCTTGGCTAATCTTTCTGTTACAGGTAAAGATACTATTTAAGAAGGCTCTCTCTCTCTCTGTTCCCTTCCTCTTTATCCATGCTGCAATCTTGGATAGAATCTGCATTATAAATAAACTTGGGTTCTGTTGTTCATTGTTGGTGATATGTGGAATTGTTTCTAAAGATTCAAAAAGCTGGCTCTGCGTTGGTCTTTCCCCTCAACATTTTCATCCTTCTTATTATTTTGAACCACATTCTTTAAAACTCATTTTCAACCACACATTTTCTCTGTAAAATAATTTTTCACTTAAACCCCAATCTATTTTCTACTTTTTAACTATACATTCTCCAAAAAAATCACTTTTTACAAAATCTATTTTCAAAAAATGGAGCTCAAATAGAGGCTAATTTTTCCCAGATTTATTTGTTCGAAATTTTGTGGGCTGAAGTTAAGAGTTGAGCAGTGATATGATAGTGCAAGAATCTTCCTTTTATAGCACCCTCTTGGAGCTCAAGATTATCAAAATTTTGCCAAGTGGCCTAGATGTAGAATTTATAATAAATATTTTTTTTCCGCCAAAGTTGCTGGCTTTAATTGCAAGGCTAGTTCAAATATGCTACGAAGGGTTACCAATTCAACTTCATGATTTTTAACAGCGTCAAGGTTTTTTTCCAAACGTTTTCACATTTCACAAAAAATTACATTCAAATTTTCATTGAAATAGATTGCGGAAAAGATGACCCTGATCTTAAGGAAGAGATGGAAAAGCAATATGTGGACTTATTGTCGGAAGAGCTGAAACTGCAAGAAACAGTTGGTAAAGAGCATTCCCAACATATGAACATCACCTTCGGGGAGGCACGAAGATTGGCTTCCCAATACCAGAGAGAAGCCGAAAAATGCAATGCTGCTACTGAAACTTGTGAGTCGGCCAGAGAAAGGGCTCAGGCCTTGCTCACTAAGGAAAAGAAGATAACTTTATTGTGGGAAAAAAGAGCGAGGCAGCTTGGTTGGGAGGGAGAATAAATTACTAGCAATATGTTTTGGATGGATGCTCTACATGTGAATAAATGTGTGCTCAAAATTTTCGCGAATTTATAAGTGCCTCTCTGTAATTCTTCTTTTATTTTTCTCTCAAGGTAAAAATAGAAATCCAAATATATGCGATAGGACGGTAAGATATGATTTAAATTTCTATCTTGTGTTTATTATATAGCTTATTTCAAGTTTAGGTTGGTATTTTAAGAGAATTTATGAATACTTCCAAATTGCATCTCTACTAATCTCTTTCATTTTGTTGTCTTTTCCTTCAAGGATTTTTTTGGTGTAAATTGCATACAAGTACTTCTAGGTACGTATTACTTGATTCATATCACAAGAAATACATAACATATGACAGGTCATGAATCTCTTTGATTGTGTTGTTAAGACATGTTTAGTATGTTAAATAATTGATAGTAAACAATTTTTATCTTTATGTGCGTTCAATACAATTCGATATTCCGTAATCCTTCATCTCTATATAAATTTGATTTATAAATTCAATCAAAGTCAAATGTTAATTTCAACCAAACATTCACAATCATTGATTATTATTCATACATTTTGTTCACTGCTATTTATCTTTACAAACTATTTATAAATTTGTCAAATAGAGATAAATATTAATTTCAACCAAACATTCATAATCACTGGTTATTATTAATACTTTTCATTTACTACCGTTCCTCTATATAAACTATTTATAAATTTGCCAAATAGAGATACTTAAGTGTGTAACATCTGAAAATGACTTATGATATCACACTCCCACAAAATACTGGTATTTAAAATATCCTATTGGGTGTTTGCAACCCAATCCCAATGACTGTTTCTAGGACACAGATTTATTTCAAGTTTGAAGCCATCAGGATACTCAACGCCAAACATACAAATCATATTGTAATAAACAAAATTTTAACTTCTTTTCCTTTTTCACATCGTCAAATGCCATAAAGTTTTATCGTATCAAACATGTCAATATTGTACAAGTGTACCCCCTCCTGTCGAAACTTGGAAATTTTTGCACAGTGAACTTTGTGATCGGTGCTTCCCATAAGATTGTAGTATATGCACATGTTTCTGCTAAATATAAAAAGTGCCCATATAATTCATGTCATTGGTCAGCATCAAATGGCAGCACTGTCCAGAAGATTTTCTACATTGTTTAAACTGATTTGTGCAGCTAAATTTTCACATATTCTCGCGGGAGGAAAACTTATTGATTAAAGAAGATGGACATAGACAAGGACCCTTAAACCGACACTGATATCTTCATCTTTTGTTTCTGTAGGCAATGGTCATACCCTACACAAATTTCGTCATTCCTTGTATACATGACACTAGAAAAGTTCAATGATAACTTCAGTTTTCGTAGAAGAACAATGCTGCCTTATGGATGGAAATATTTTGTCATTCTCGACCAAGAAAATTGCCAACTCAACAGGATCTGGATCACATGAGCTAATTTCTAACTCCATATCATTTCAAAGTCGTGATGAAATACTGCCACATAATCTGACCAGCTGAACTGCAAGTTGAGCACTCAAAAGCAATCAATAATAGTACATACCTTTCTACACTGGCACATGAATTAAGAAGAAGAGAGCAGTATAATGCAGCATTTTCCAAACTGATAAGAAAGAAGCAGTTATCTTTTCGGAAATCTCAAACATTTGTTGTGCTTGGATTCTGTTATACTTGGGGCAGTACTAAGTTGTGCCTTGTTTCGTTTTGAAAAGGAGTGTTTTTCCATGGCATTTACAAATTTGCGCAAGTGCTTAATGTACTCGGGGAAGGTTTCAAGATTGCAGTGTCCTCCACCTTGGACCCATAATGGATCATATTTCTCCTTAGAAAGTTCCCACAATCGCTTACCATGGGACCAATCGACAATATCATCATTTGTGCCCTGTGAAAATTGAACCAACAGAAGTAAGACAGACTGCTGAAAATGCAATCAGCTTGTTTTGGGGGGATACAAGTAGAGGTAAATGTCACCAACGAACTTCTTTTTTTTTTTTTAAATTATACACAACTATGTTAACATGTTTAATAGGGTTTCCATAAGATTTTAAACCTATCCCGAATCATAAATTTAAGCATATAATGGTCTTTGGACAAGACAAGAGCAAAGTTAATAGTGGTTGAGAGTTTCTCTAAAGGGCTAAGTTATCAGAGATTATCAGATTCAAAGCATGGCAATCAATTCATCATCTACGTAGGGCAACAGCATTGAGCAGACTCGAAGCTCCCAACGGAGATTCCTTGAAAAATGTGATCTAAATGAAGTAAAACCTTATCCACAGAGGAAGTTGTCTTTTTTTGTATATTCTGCCAATTATTCCAATTCTTCATTCCACATTCCAGTTTTTCAGGTCCAGAATATGAGTTCTTTTTCTTCCATCTGAACCTGAGTATTCTCTTAAAGGGTTCATAGTTCATATTATAAGTTAAATCTCTTCTCGTACTGTTTGAAATTGGTACTCTTCTCTTATCTGAGTTTTATCAACTTATAAAAGAAGAAAAAGAAGAAGCCTGAAAAACATTTAGTCCCATGGAAAATATGACTTTCATATGAACATGCTTTAATAGATAATCAGTGTTGTTCATTAATATGGCCATGGCAAATCAAGAAAATCTTTCTAATTACCATTTCCTTCTACACTTTTCTTACTCGTATATTTAACACCATCAAGCGTAGCTGACTCTTAAATTTTGATTTTATTCCTAAATTTGACTGAGCTTCGATGTTCTCTTTAAGAGACTGAAGCCCATAAAAAGTAATTTCATTAATCACAGCAATATAATTTCCAATTCCTTATTTCTCCTTTAATTTAGGAAAATGTTAATCGGAATAAACCTTTAACCCTTAAAGTCTTTAGAAGCCACCACATTGCCAGCTAAATGAGGAGAGGTCGAATTATAGACATACGAGATTGGTCCGCAACATGAAGCTAGAGATGGCAATGGGTCGAAATGGCTCTTAAACACAAGAGCTCGGCTCATGTCTCGTTTTCAAGGAGCGAGCTAACTCAGCCCACAAGCTCGATTATTTTATTTTATTTTTTTGGGAAAATTTTCAAATTTTTCTTCACATTTTTTACGAGCCCACGAGCCGACTTGTGAACTTTTGGCTCGTGGGCTGTGGGCCGCTAGCCAGCTGAGCCTTGGTCGGCTCGTTGGATTCGACCCTTGCTCGGCTCGTGCTCAGGCTCGTCAAATCGACCCGTTTGACATCCCTACATGAAGCTAGTACAACAATGCACTAAAAAATAAAAACGCCACATAGTTTTTGAAAATGAGAAACATAATTGCAGCATATAGAAATGGATGTCCTGAAAATGCATTTGGAGTGGAAAGAGGCGAGAGAGGTCATTCTTACATGTATAACTAGAACAGGGCAATTGACATCCCGTATTTTGTCTATGTTCTGTAAAGAATGAACAGAAACTTTGTCAACCACGAACCTAAATAAAAAAATTGACTAGGCGGGAAAGGAAAAGACTCAATAGGAACTTACTTTGAAAATGTCAAACCAGAATGTCAACTTGACATTGTACAGAACTCGTATTCCAGAAAGAATGGCACTATGAAGAACAACAGCTCTCAACCTAGGTGAACGAGCAGCCAAGTGTAGTGTTGGACCACTCCCAACAGATTGACCATACAAAATAACATCCTCTTGCTTGATTCCATATTCATTCTTCAAACAACTATAGACAGCCTCGATGTCATAGTATGTGTTGAACTCAGATGGCTGTCACATGAAAAGAATGCATCAAGAATCAATATATCCATTAAGGGCATATAGTATGGCTTCTTACCACATTCATATTATTATGAAAGTGGACTTTCATGGCCAATTTACTTCAGATATTTTGTCCTTTTTATATTTGAAACGCCTTTTATTCTACGCATATCTAGGGTGTCAAAAAACATCCAATAAAAATCTCACCTTACCGGTGGATGCTCCATATCCTGAATAATCGTAGCTGCACGGTGAAAGAAAGTACGTTGTTAGCAACAAGTATCCCAAATAGAAATTTTGAAATCCTTAGAGGCTTTGTCCGTGTGTAAATTGTTCCATAAATGAAATAATTATCGACTCTGAAACACTAATCCGAACCAATTACAGCAGTAGGGTAGTCCGGCAAGCTGAAAACTGAACCCCAACAAGCAAAACTCAAATCAGACCTACATTTTTTGTTGTGTTACTCTTCTTGAAATCAAATTCAAATTTGCAGACCTCGATTCCATGCTAACAAAATGTGTTCGACAATTCTAAATTAAACAACCTTAGGAAGAACCAAATATATAGCTAACATCAATATTAACACTAATCACAACCTTCAGCAACTCTCTGAATTAAAATCATAATTAACTCAAATTAATTCCCCAACCCAAAATTATTATTTTCCATGTTAATCTGTAAATCATACACCGAACGGACAAGAAAACATAAAATATTGACTTTTCCCTTTTTACATCACTGCTCAATAAGGAAATTACTGAAAAACATAATCTTTAAGGCACCCGTGTTCAATGCCAACATAACTATCAAAACCCATAAAATTTACATTCCAATAGAATCAAGACACCCTCAAAAATTGCATAAACAAACCCAATTTATTCAAAGAAAGTGAAAAATGTAAAAACCTCATGATATTGACGCGGAGGTGGGCCCTGAGCTCAATAAACAGGTCCTGCATCTGTCCCAAATCGGCGGCGTTTCCATGGGAGTACAATAAGGTGAACCTCCCCGTCGGGTGCTTCCAGAACGTAGCCACAACCTTATTGCCGCCCTTCGTCTGAAGTAAATGTACGTCCACGTTTTTATCCGCCGTTAAACCACTCATCACCATCCGCCCATCCAATTCGTCACAGTATACATCGTACGTGGGTGGGTCCGGCGGGAAAAATGCAAATTTTGCCGCCACACTTGACGTCACATTTCCCATTGATCACCACCACTTTAAACAACAAAAAATCAACTATCAATCAAAAGTTCCAGGCTTCAAGCCATAAACACACCTCCTACGGCATGGAATTCCGTTCCCAAAAAATGAATATCATATCAACATTCAAGACTAATTCTTTTTATTTAAAAAAAAAATTATTTTTGGATTTTTGGGCGTTCTGTTTTTTGTTTTTCTTTTCCGGGCTTGTGTTTGTTGATAATGAAGAAGTTGAAAGATCCGATCCAAACGGAGGGAACTAAAGAAAGCTCAAACGGAAGTGTATGGATTTGTGTGTCGCATAAATTTTGTATTTTTTAGTGTGTTTTTAAACAAGGAAACACTCTGTACAAAACAAACACATTGTTTTTTATGTATGGTCATGGATGCCCATTATTCGCGAATAAGAAAGGTCAACTTTATCCTTGCTGTTATTTTTAGAATCTTCTTGTATTTTGTCTACTTTAGACAAGTATATAATTGAGGGGTAAATTTGAACTTTTGAACTGAAAAGAAAGGAATTGCCCAATTTAGAAGAATTTAAAATTCAGATTTTAATTTAAATTGAAGT